TGATCAAAGAAGATTAAATATGATTTTAAGAACATAGTTAAATTCAACTAAATAGGATCCCATATATATAAATCCAATGACAGTGTTATAAAGATTAAATGTGATCCCCCTGTAATGGGATGGTTTCGTAAAAAAAAATAATAATAACAGTGTTATAAAGATAATTTTTTTTATTTTTTTATATAATTTTTACATATTATTAAATGAGTAAATGCATTTAATATCACGAGTTTCATATGAATTAAAAAAATCAATAATTTTAATGATATGTCAAGTTGTATAAAAAAATGAAACAAAAAAATAAAACGAAAAAATTATACAAAAATTATTTCTCTAAAAAAACTTAAAAGATAACTTTTTGATCAAATATCTTATTTACATTTAGAAATTATTGTTTTTTCTTACAATTATCACCTTAAATTTTCATTTTCAATAATGACACTCTTAAAATTTTAAAACTTATACAAAACTTAAAAATTTTAAAAGATATTGAACATAAAAAATAATAATATCTAAAATATAAATAAAGGATTTAATTTTTTTTATAACTTTACATATTATTTAAAAATTAGTTTCTTTCATTTTATTAAAATTCATAATATTATAAGTATTTATTTATTTAATAATGTATAAAAAAATTATATAAAAAACTATTAAAAAAATATGTGCTTCGCATTACTCCCGTAACTGTCTCTTATACTCTTCCAGATGTGTATACGTGAATTGGATTATATTTGGCAAGAATCTCCTTAGAGACTTTCTTATTGCCATGTTTATAGGTAGCATACACAACCCCCACAAAATGAGCTACGTTCTTGAAAAAAGAGACAATGATTCTAATGCCATCCATAGTTTTTATGGTGCCAAAAGTCCCAGAACCTCTAGTTTTTGCTGCAGCGTCAACATTTTGGTGATCATAGGCAGCAGTCACTTTTGCAAAGAGTGGACCACCTTTGCTACAGCTTTGATCAATGAAAGCCTAGTTTTCTCTCCCACTTCTGGCCTACCTATCAGCTTTGTTTTCAACTGAGAATGATAATGCTTCCACATGTTATTGGCTTTCAAAAATCATTGAGTCCCAAAGTATTGGGCTATTCCATCTATTACCAATTGGTTTTAAGTTAGATGCAAGTCTTATATTGAGCTCACGTGCATAATTTTCCCATGGTATCAAAACCCAAGTTTTGTTTGGAAAGCTCATTGTTAGCCCACTTGACATGACTCGAAATTAATACCAAGGTTGCATGTAAGGGGATGTATTTAGCCATTTGATAGGATTTGACATTCATAGCGAGCTTGCATGTGAGGGGGTGCGTTTGAGTGAGAAAATTCCCCATTGTTTATATAACAAAAAAAATTTGTGGGTTAAATACAAAGAGAGTTACTCCATTTACAACTAATTAGTTTTAAGTTAGATACAAATCTTTGTGTTGAACCTACATGCACAATCACATGGAATTAGAGACTAAATTCCATCATGAGAAACCTGTTATTAGCCCACTTGATATCCCTTATCTTAAATGATGTTGGAAATGAGAAAAAGAGACTTTTTTTTTTTGAACATAACAAAATTGGTTCATTTCAAACACCGCTATACGGCATCTACAGGAAAATAAACAGTAAAATTACAACAGGAGCAAGAAACTAGAGTAAACCCATTTCCAGAGGCCGAAGGGAGGTGCACAAGACACTCGAACAACCACTAAGGACCCAGCTATACAGCGGCCTTCGGTCAAGCGATCCAAACAGGACACCCTTCAATCTACCCATGTGGAAGGTGCGCCAGGCTCCCGGATGCTGATGCAGAGACCTAATCCGGCGGAGGCCGATCCCTGGAGGCAGCAGGTGGGTCGCGAGGTTGCCAAATCTAGGATCCCCCGCGTACACCTCCACCAAAGAAGCTGCCGGATGGAGGGGACCACCCCCGAATCTGCAAACAAACCAAAAAACAGCAACCCCTAACAAGATCAATAGGAGAGAGCCGAGGGTCGCCAGATCTGAAAAACAAACTATACAAGAACACAAACAACCAAACAACAAGAAAACCAAAGGGGTCACCAAAGGGGACCCAAGAACTGACAGACCCGGAAGGGTCGTCGGAGGAGGGAGCACAGTTCGGCTCCAACCATGCTTGAACGGCCAGGAAACCCGGCGGCTCAAGCATCAAAACCTCGGAAGCTCAAAGGCTTCCGAGCAAAAAACAACGCAGCGCCGGAGAAGGGGCAGAGGCAGGAGAGAAGGGAGAGAGAAGGGGGAAAGAGAGAGAAGATTTTGAGAAAAAGAGACTTTATATAATGACAAGAGTGCACTAATATGGTTGCATATAATATTACAAAGAAAAATTATTGATACATACTCTCTTATTGTAAAATGTTGTGATTAAAAATATTAATTTTTTTAATTTTATTGATAAAAAATTTTAATAA